AAATGGAGATTTGTACAGGAATGTTAATAGCAGTGTTACTCCACAAAAACGTGGATAAAGCATAAATGTCCCACCACAATTAAATGGATTGAGAAATTGTGGTACATTCACACAATGGAATGCTACTCAGCGCTCCAGAACAGTGATTTCTAAAATTACTATATAACTTAGGAGGGACTGGAGAGCCTTATACTCAGTCAACTAACTGACTCCCATAAGGACATATACTTTATAAGACCATTATTGTAGGAATAGAAAAACATCCAGTAAAAACGGTTTGAGGATCCAAAAGGGAGAGAGTAGGAGCAGGGGGTGAGGATGGGCAGGGGGAAAATAATAGGGTTGCATGATTTGATGGATGTAGAGAAGAGTGGGTAAAGGAAATGAGAAAGATCCAGTGGCGATCTGGAAAGACAGGGTTAATCGTGGGTATACTTCAATGTTGATTAATCTTATAAAGTACAATGAATGTGAGTGCTTGTATGAGACACAATGTGAATGAAGGATAGTGTGAAACACAATGTATATGAACTTTGTTAAACAAACCAGTATAAAAAGCTTTTATTGGGAGGGGGGAAGATGGTACAATTTAGGGCATGGTTCAGATCTCTTGTACATAGTGTCTCTGTGAGTCATAGGTGACTGGATGACACCTAACAACATAAGTCAATCATGTAATGGAAATAGTACATTATCTTTAAGTAACTTTCTTTTATGTAAATTAACTCATTGCATTTGGTAAAAGATTATTGACAATGCAGTACCTTGATCTTACTAGTTTATGCACAATTTTTCCCAGCACAGTAATGTTTTATGCTGTTATAGAACAGCAGATGAAATACACTGATACAGTGAACCATGGAAGATGTCAGTACTTTATGAATATACATTCACGCCATTTTCTTACTCATTGTTGAATTAGATTTTGTTCTAGAAGCACCCATTTGTTCATCATTACCAGCTCATGGCAACCTCAAGGTGTAAAGTAGAATTGCACTGTAGAATTTTCAAGGCTATAATCTTTCTGCAGTAGATCACCAGGTCTTCCAAGGCACTTCTGATATTGTTACATACCTTTGAGTTAGAACTTCCTCATAGCTGAGTAGACTTAGTGGGTAAAGATGTTGTAAACTGCCCCTCCTTGTCGGAGAGCAGCTGGTGGATTTTACAGTACAACTTTGGGATGACAGTGCAAATCCTTTTCACTAGGTTGGTTCAGATTGACAGTCTTTAAGCTAGTAGTGAGAGTTTAGCATTTTATACTACCCTTGGACAGCTAGTTCAAGTCTGTAGCTCGCTAGTTCCATTCCTCAAGTATATGTTGTTGTTACATGCCGTCAAGTTGATGACTCATAGTGACCCTATGTAAGATGCCTCTGGGGTGGGGGGGGAGAAAGAAAGATGCCTCTGAAACTTGCCCTATCCTGAGCCAACCCTTGATTTGTGGTGCTGGAGAAGATTATTGAACATCATACCAGGGACTGCCAAGAAAACAAAGAGGTCTGTTCTGAAAAGAGTGCTTCTTAGATGCCAGGATTTGGAAACTCCTTCTCATACACTTTGAGCATGTTGTCAGAAGGGGCCAGTCCCTAGAGAAGGATTTCATGCTTGAAAGGGTCTAGAGGGGGGAAAAAAAAAGAAAGGGTCTAGAGGATCAACATAGGAGAGGAAGACCCTAGATGAGATGGATTGACACATGACTTTGGCAGTGTCAGGGATGTGTGTGTTAAGTGTGTGCTCCATAGAAACTCTTGATCTTGTGCTCTCACCAGTATTACTCTTTAGAGGACAAATCCAAGAGGGAAAAGGGAACTTGCACTAGAATGTAGATCTACACCATGCTTCTTTCATTAAAAAAGCTTTATCAGTCTAAGGGATGAGTTAATAATGATGTTCATATATTCTGGTATAAGCTGCTTTTATCACTTTGAAGATGAGTAACAGACATGGACCAGCTCTTTATGTGTGGACCACATTTTCCTTAGCACTGCTGTAAGAGACATAAAAGTTCATAGTATCATTGAAAATGCCCATCATTTTAAGAATGAGTATATAAATTTTATATTTATATAAAATAGTACACTGTGAAAACAACCTATTTACAATTAAGAATCTCATACAAAAAGCATACTCTAGTAGAATTTATATAAAACTGGGAAAACAGAAAAGCAGTATTATATCACACATACATGATTATAGAGTAAGGAAGATGTAAGAATTAAAAACACCAAATATAGTGTGCTTATACTGAGATTGGGAAAAGGAATGGTAGATAATTTGGGAAACCAGTGAAACCCATTTAGATTGGGAGACACGGGCTGATAGTAATTTAAGTGAAAAGGCCTAGGAGAATTTTTTTTAGAAAACATTATTACTTTCTTTTTTAAAAAAAAATTATTCTTTTTTGTGCATGTACCACCTAAATTATGTGGTTGTAAAATAAAAGTCACCCATTGTCACAGGGTGCTTAGATGTACTGTAAATGATGAATACATAGGAAATATTTTCAGTTCTTAGTACTGAATTTTAAAAGATACACTAATAAACAGGCTGAAAATAATGTCATAAGCTAAATAAGTCTTAATGGCAATGGAAATTTATTTCAATATTTGAAAGAATATCCTGTGAATAAGTTAACTTTGCCTTTTCCCCTTTTAATATCGTCTGTCATTTTTACCTACCAAACCAGTATGGCACAGAATTCGATGATAACAATTCATTTTTCTTTTGAACATATTAGCCATTCTCTCGAACTTTGTGGCATTTGCAAATTTGATACATGTCATCAATGAAAATACTGAACCATTTGAATCTTGCCTAGGTAATTTACTACCTCTTAGGGAAGTTAAAGGTCTTGATTTATGGATTGAGGCTCAATGTCAAGAAGACAAAGATTCTCACCACTGGACCAATTGGCAGCATCAGAATGGATGGTGAAGAAATTGAGATTGTTAACAACTTTAGTCTGCTTGGCTTTAGTCTTTCTTGGTACCAAGTAGCCAGGAAATCAAAAAACATATTGTGATGGGAAAGTCCGCTGTTAGGGACCTCTCCAGGGTACTGAAGAGCAATGGTGTCGCTCTGGAGACTAAGGTGCATCTGATACAGGCTATGGTCTTTGCAGTCACTTGTTATGCATCAGAGAGTTGGACAATGACTAAGGAGGACAGAAGGAGAATTGATGCCTTTGAGCTGTGGTGCTGGAGAAGAGAATTGAATGTACCCTGGACTGCCAAGAAAACAAACAGATTCATCCTGGAGAAGGTTAAACCAGGCTGCTCCTTGGAGGCAAGAAATCTGAGGCTTCGTCTGACATACTTTGAACATGGAAGGAGGGACAGGTCCTTGTAGAGGGACATCATGCTTGGGAGGGTGGAGGGACGGAGCAGAAGGGGAAGACCCTCTATGAGATGGATTGATTCAGTGACTGGGGTAATCAGGATGGGTGTGTTGGAGGCAGTGAGATTGGCACAGGATATGGCAGGGTTTAGGGCTGTTGTACATAAGGTTGCTGTGAGTTGCTAGCTTCTCGACAGCACATAACAGCAACATAAGCACTATAGAATAGAACTTTCTGAAGTGATAGAAATATTCTTAATTTGTGTTGTTGAGTAGCCACTAGTGACATGGCTGGCAAGCACTTGAAATGGAGCTAGCACAACTGAGACACTTCCTTTTTTTCCCCTTTTGTTTTTAATAAATTTAAATAGCCACATGGGGCCTATGGCTACTGTATAGGACAACACAGATCAAAATAAGAATATTATATGCACCCTAATTTTAGTTGCTAGGGATCTCTGATAGCCTAGTGGCAAGAAGCTGCACTGCAGTCTTAAAAGCACTTGGTTCAAATCCACCAGCTGTTTCACAGGAGAAGAGTGAATAGTCTCCTCTTGTACCATTAACCACCTCTGAAAACCCACCGGGAAGGTCAGCTGTGGGTTGGTTCCAGCTCAACAGTACACAACAACAACAACAACTTCATTTGCCTTCTTTGTATCCAAAAGTTGGATAATAAATAAGGAAGACATCTAGGAAAAAGACATCTTGCTGGGAAAGGGTCATCAAAAGAGAGGAAGACCTCAGCGAGATGGACTGATACTGTAGAAATGTGCTTGAACCTGACAGATCATACAATGGTGCTAGATAGGACAAGGTTCAGATTTGTTGTTCATAGGGCTCTTGTGAGTCGTCTTCAGTTCAATAGCACCTAACAACAAATACATTTAGCCTATAATGAAACAAGACTGTAATACTTAAATACTCAAGTGCATGGTGGTATATTTTTAGAAAGGTTGGTAATCAAACATTCAAGAGTCATTATATAAACATGTTCTTTAAAAAACGTACATCATGGCGAGCTCTGGTGGCCCTAGGGGCAAGGAGGTGTACTGCAATCCCAGAGGTGCACAGTTCAAATCCACCAGATGCTTTGCTGGAGAAGGAGGAACAATCTCCTCCTGTACCAGTCAGATCTGATTTGACGGTAAACACACACACACACACACACACACACACACACACACACACAATAATAATGACATAAAATTTAAAAAAAAACAAAACGAAAATATATCATTATCAATGATTAAGATTTTTAAACTGCTCGTAATTGTTTTCATTGCTGGCATGAACTGGTAGATATTTGCAAAAAAGAGTAACTATTTTTAAAGAGAGAAATATTTGTCCAAATGTAGCATTTAAACTTAAATATTGGTGAAGTATTATTAATGTAGGTACTGTTTTGGTAATGATCTGTTTAAAACAATTTTACAAAGATTTTCTCTTTAACAGCTTAGAATAATCCAGAGAATAAGTGAATCTTGATTTTTTTATATATTTATTCCAGATATGATAATATAATATTGGAGGTTTTGTCTGTAAAGATAAGCTAAACCCAAGAAGTGTATTTTATGACTTGATAAAATTTTTATGTCATGATATAAATAAATGTTTCAAATTTGTTGTCCTTTTTTTGTTGTCCTTTTGTTCCCCTCTAGCTGCATAGATGAATGGTTTGAAGTAAATAGATCTTGCCCTGAGCACCCTTCAGATTAAGCACCATATTCCTGCTTTATAGGTAATTTTTATTTTTTTCTTTATCTAAGTGTTTTGAATCACGTGCTCTCAGCCATTTATGTGTATGTTCGAGGCATTGTATTTAAACTACTCTGAAAAAATTCAGGTTAAAATAAATTAGTGGGAAACCCTACTACTTTGGTTCCTAAATGTAGTAAAATATTAAATATATCTTCTAGGTACTTTGGCACACTAACTTACTTAATTTTAATGTAATACTTTAAAAAACTAATGAAGTACATATTATATAGTTTTACAACTTTAAGAAACAAGTTATACTAAGAGTCTTAAGATCATAATTAATGAATGGAATTAGTTTGTTAACAATTACATAGCATTCTGTGTGCCAGGCAATGTAAGCATTTTCTGTCCATTAATTTGTTACATCAGTCTTTAGAACTCCATACTCTTACTCCCTTACACAGATGAGAAATTTAAGTCAGAGAAGGTGAGAAACTTGACTTGTCAGTTTCCTATTACTTGTTGATGTAACTATTTTACTGTTAGCTGGTAGGAGTATTTTTGTTTCATCACAAATTGATTTACTTTATCAAACTTAACACTTTTGTAGGGAGGTCTGATGGCTTAGCAGTAAGGAGTTGCACTGCTATCTCAAAATCATGTAGTTAGAATCCACCAGCTGTCCTGTGGGAAAAAGGTGGGCATTGTCCTCCCACATCATCTACTGTTTCTGAAAATAGTTACTTCATTGTTAAATGACAATAACAACTCACCTTTGTATAAAAACCAAACTTAATCCTTTGCTGTAACTCAATTCACAGATACTGAGCATGACATGAAACACCATAGAAAAGCCAGAGGCAGTAATTGTACAGGAAAAGATTGCCCATCTTTCACCTGTGGAGCAGTGGGTGGATTTGAGCCACATGCCTTCTCAGGATTGAAGTGCAGCTTCTTACTACTTGGCCACCAGAGCTCCCTAGCATATTGATAGCACAGCATTATTTTTGAAAATGTTAATGAATTGAGTGGGAACCTCACTTGCTTATCTGTTTCCCCCCCCATAATTTCATGAAGCCAATTAATGGCAGTGTTAGCCTTTAAAAACTTGATTACTTTTATGAGTATCTTCAAATATATGACGTTTTCATGAGAAGACTTTTGTGGAAAGTAAAGCACTTTAGCCAAGCCTAGAATTATCTCGGAGGGAGTTGGCGCATCTATCTTCAAAAGCGTTGAAGACAATAATGGATATCAGTCTGTCCTGTATTCCCAAGATGAAAGGCAGGAAACAAGATCAAATGATATCTTGATGTCTATGCCTTTACTAGGAAGCTCTGGTGGTGTAGTCTGTAGAGAGTTGTGCTCCTAACCCAAAAACTGAGCCTTACTTAGTTCTAGTCTATAATCTTATCTGTGGGATCACAATGAGCACTTCTCCTGTGCAGTCTGTGACCTCAGAATCTCAATAGAGGTTCTGCTGTAAGGTGGTTCCAACTCCACAACAATGAATGAGAGCAAGTTACTCTGTTAACTAAGGAGCTAAGTGAAGGTCATTGGTTTGAATCCATCCTCTGCTTGGAAGGAGAAAGCCAGGTGGTCTCCTCTTATAGTCTCAGAACCTGGTCATGGGTAGCTGTGAGGCAGAGTCAGCCCTGTGGCATGAGTTTGGTTTTGGAATCCTGTACTGGGTAACTCTTGAGTGAAAAGTGAAGCAAGAGTGCTCCTTGCAGCAAGGAGGATGAAGTGTCATCTCACATACTTTGGGCATGTTGCTAGGAGAGGACATTCCTTGGAAAGTGAAAAAGTCAGCAAAAGAGAGGAAGACCTTCATCTAGATGGATTGACTGGCAGTGAGCTCAATTATATAAACATGATGAAAATGGAATAGGATAGGATTCAGAGCTGTTGTTCATAAGGTTCTTTTTTTTCTTTTTTAAATTTATTATTAATTTCAGTGAAAATTGACAGAGTCTTTGGATTTCCATTCATACATTGTTGCACTTTTCTCCCCCTCCCAACCTTCCCCCCAGTACACTACCCTCTTGGAAAAGTAAAAGAAAAGTTCCTTGATTGTTTTACAATCCCTCCCCACAGGTCTACTCCATTATGCAGCTTTTGATCTGGACTCCTGTCATGACAAAAATACCTAATCACATATCCCTTTTAAACAGTTTTCTCCCTCATCTGTTTCAATGTGGTATACATTATTGAACTCATCTTTCTCAGTCTCCCCCCAACCCTGATGTCAGTCCTGTTTTACAACAGTTGCACCATGCAATATTTGTCCTTTTGTGACTGAGATACTTCACTCAGCATAATGTCCTCCAAGGTCACCCATTTTGAATAATATTGCATAAGTTCCTTTTTTTCAACGCAGCATAATACTCCATTGTGTGAATATACCACAGCTTACAGCTTCTCTATCCATTCGTTTGTTGATGGGCATTTAGATTGTTTCCAACTCCTTGCTGTTATGAACAAAGCCGCAATAATCATGGGTGTTCATATATCTGCTTGGATGTCAGTTATAGTCTCTTTAGGGTATATTCCCAGTAGTGGAATTGCTGGGTCAAATGGTATCTCTATTTGCAACTTTTTGAGAAAGCACCATACTGCCTTCCACAGTGGTTGCACCATTTTACACTCCCACCAACAGTGAATAAGGGTTCCAGTATCTCCACAACCTCGCCAGCATTTGTTGCTTGCTGTTATATTAAATTTTGCTATTGTGACTGGGATGAGATGATAATCTCATAGTTGTTTTAATTTGCATCTCTCTTAGAGCTAGGGATTTTGAACATTTCTTCATGTGCTTGTTAGCCATCTGAATGTTGTCTTCGGTGAAGTGTCTGTTCATATCCTGTGCTGATTTTTCTATCTTGTTGTAGAGATCAAGTATTTTATAAATTCTGGATAGGAGTCCCTTATCTGATAATGTCATTACCAAATACTTTTTCCCAGTCTGTGGCTTCCCTTTTTTACCCTTTTGGAGATGTTTTTGGATATGCATAGGGATTTGAGTCTTAGAAGATCCCATTCATCTATTTTATCTTCTCCTGGTTGTAGATTGTTCATAAGGTTCTTGTGCATTGTACTTGACTCGATGACACCTAACAATGCCACTAAATAAAGTCTGGTAGTAAAACAGTTAAATATCATGTTGCTATTGGAAGGTCAGTCATTGAAACTCACCATCAGATTTGAAAGAATAAGACCCATCACATTCTTTTCTTGCCAAAATTACCATCTGGGAAACCATATGAGTCAGTTTTCCTCTGTCCTATAGGGTCTTTTTGAGTCAGAGTGAACTTAGCAGTATACAATAGCCCCATGCTATACCCTATTTTATTTAATTTCTGGCAAGAGATTAGGATATTGACAAAGGAAATTTGAGGTGACTTAATAGCAACTGTAGCAATGTGAAATGAGAACTGCAAGTGGAGTTAAGACCTCTGCCATAACAGTTTCACTGTATGTATGAAATGTGAAAGCCTTGGGAACAGATTATAAAAGATTCAGCCTTTGAACTTTCACTTTGAGGTTACTCAGATCATCTTGACACACATGAGACATGAATTGAGGTAAGACTATTGTAGAAGAGAAGTGAAGGAATGGTATTTTTCAAGACAGGTGCTAAAACTGATGTCCGTAAAATGACATTTTATTGTAGTATTTTACATATTAAAGTATATATTCACCCTGAAAATAGTATTTGTCTTTTAGAATCAATCAGTAAGATTTTGTGTGAGGACAAACTTTAGGATAGAAATAATTTTTCTGTTTGATCTAAAAGCACTACTGAATAATAAACACAAAGGAGGAGGGATCACACTCCCTAACCTCAAAACTTACTACACCACCATAGTAGTAGAGACAGCATGATATTAAAGATCAAAACAACAAGATGCCATCTTAACCCAGTAGCAGCTGCAACGTTTTAACAGGAGAGCAAGCAATAAATGTTGGAGAGGGTTATGGAAAGATGGGAACTCTCATATGCTGCTGGTGACATTGTAAAATGGTACAAACCACTCTGGAATACAGTTTGGGGTTTCCTCAAAAAGCTGAACCTAAAAATCCCATATGATCCAGTCAGTTCCCTGCTAGAAACATACTTCAAGGAAATTAGAACTGAGACATGAGCAGAGAGATGTAAACCTATGTTCATAGCAACATTATTTACAATAACAAATATAATGGAAACAACCCAAATGTCCATCAACAAATAAGTGAATTGAGAAACTGTGGTGCATTCATGCAGTGGAATGCTATGTAGCACTAAGGAGTAATGGTTTTTGTAAAATACTATATAAAGTGGGAGAGTTTAGAGAGCATATACTGAGTAAACTTACTCAGAATCATAAGGACAAGTACTGCATAGAAGGATAACTAGTAAGATGTAGATAAATGTCCAGAAGGGAGAAAGGGAACAGAAAAAGGAGAAGGGTGGCAATCCTTATTATAACTGAGTTTAGGAGGCATGTTGGGGGGAAAGAGAGGGAATAGATAAGATTCAACGAAGACTTGAAAACTTAGTATAATACTAGGCATAGATCAATGGTAATTATATATTAGATCAGGATGGGTGTGTCAGGCAGTGCAATTGGCACAGGATAGAGCAGAATTTAGGGCTGTTGTACATAGGGTCGCTATGAGTCTCAAGCGACTCGTTGGCACATAACAACAAACATGAATGAATGTGTAAAATTAGATAAATGAAGGATTAAATGGCAAATAATGTATATGAAACAGTATGAATGAATTCTTGTATGAAAACAAATTTAAAAATACTTAAAGAATTGGGGGGAAGGAAGAACATGTGCAATAGTGAATGCTACTGGGGCCACTCCTATTGCCGGGCGCTTCACTCCTGGAACCTTCACTAACCAGATCCAGGCAGCCTTCCGGAAGCCTCGTCTTCTGGTGGTTACTGATCCCAGCGCTGACCACCAGCCTCTGACAGAAGCATCTTACGTTAAATTGCCCACCATTGTCCTGTGTAACACAGATTCTCC